CTGGCTGGGGAATTCTGGGAGTTGAAGTCCACCCGTCTTCAAGTCGCCAAGGTTGAGAAACGCTGATCTTCGAGAATCAACACAATGTCTGGCCCCCAATTTCTTACTCACCTTGAGGAGGACGCGTGTGGGCGCTGAAGTGCCAGCTGTTCCAAAACTGTTGTACGGGGTGCAAGCGTACACACCAAGGGCATCGTCGTTGCAAGTGGCAATCACAATAGTCCCATTGGCTTTCAGGGACCAGCCTGGGAACTATGGAAAGGGAGAATGTGGGGCTCAGGAAGAGAACCGGATGAAACCCCAACGAAGCTGGGGGACGCATCCCACTCCCGCAGCGCACCTTGCCTATCTCCAAGGCCTGCCCGTCCTTGATCCAGCTGACGAAGAGCAGCGGGGGGTTGGCTTGGCAGGGGCACCTGATCATGCCTTGCATTCCGATGGGCAGAAAGGTCTCCGGAGGCATGTCACTGACTCGAGCTGGATCTGCAGGTGGAGGACAGCATGGTGTCAGAGGTGGGATCGTGAGGTCAGGGATGGGGAGGGAAGCTAGAAAGGAACTAGGTCTAGTGAAGGAGGCATGGGGTCAGTGGTGGGATCGTGAGGTCAGGGGGTGGACCAAGAAGCTAGAAAGGAACTAGACTTAGTGAAGTAGGATTGGTGTCAGAAGTGGGATTGTGAGGTTAAGGGGTGGCCCAAGAAGCAGGAAAAGAACTAGACTTAGTGAAGGAGGATTGGTGTCAGGAGTGGGATTGTGAGGTTAAGGGGTCGAAAGAGAAAGAAGAGGGGAAACAGGAAGTAGCAAAGGCTTGAATTAGGTCATTGGCAAAATGCTGAGATCTTCACTTTGGACTAATCCAGACTTCGTGTCACAAGTGAACAGTTTGTGGGGAACATGAGAAGATTTTCTTTTTCTGATGAAGTCCTACCACCCAAGGTGCAAAGCGAGGGATATCTCTTCACGAGATCTCGTTTCAACCCCATTTTCCTGCCCCACTAGGTTATTTCTACCAACTGAGGATCTGGGTTGACGGGGTGGCGATCGGGATAAGCAGAGCTTACACAGAACCGTAAGGAAGGCAGAAGCCGATGGGGGCTTCCTCAGCCCGTTGCTGGGAACGCAAGTATATTTTCCCGAATCCTCCGGGGTTGTTCTCTGGACCAAGAGGCTTCCATCAATCAGGATTTGAATCCGCGACCGGAGATGGCTGGAGGCCAGGAAGGAAAGAGAGGTCAAACTGAGAAGCATTAAGAGACAGCTCCCTGGTCATCCTAGATCCGGGTTTCTCAAGCTTGGCAGCTTGAAGATGGGTGGACTTGTTGAAGTCCACCCATCTTCAAGTTGCCAAGCTTGAGAAACACTGTCCTAGATATTAGCTTAGACCAGCCTTCTGTTCTCTGGACCCCCTTCTGACAGGTATATTTAATTCCCAGAAATGCCCTTTCCTAAGAATTCTGGGAGAGGAAGTCCACACAGCTGAAGGATGCCCAGATTGGAGAAAGCTGCCTTATGGGTTTTCAAAGGGGAGGCTGCAACAAAAGTTTGCAGCGTGGAACCGTCCTGCTTGGAGCACTACCCCCTCAGTGATTTCCTACGAGGCTCTGGATGTTTCATACTTTCCCCCACCAGGGAGAAAGTTTTGGGGTCATTCTCATTTCTTCTTCCCCCTCCCCTTTTCTTACCTGAGATGAAACACGTTGGTGGCCCCCAGAAACCAGGTGTAGGTGAGGTTGGCCGGGTAGGCTTCAGCTTGACAAGCCAAAAAGGCATCTTGGGTGAGGTTGACGGTGACATCCTGGGGGGGCACCACAATCACTGGTGGCCCTGGCAGAGAAGGAGGAGGCAGAAAATTGAATTTCTGCAGAAACCGAGGAGACTGTAGTTCGACCAGCGACCCAACAGATGGGAGAGATCCCTGAAGTCAATGGCTGCATTCGCACAACGGAAGAAGACTGGTTTGTTTTAACCTTGGATAGATTTGTTTTGTGGCTAAGCATGCTGTGGGGAACTTAGCTTGTTGGGTTAGTTGATGATTTGTATCCAAGGTAGAGCTGTCTATCTGTGGGGTCGTGAGGAGTTGAAAGCGACTTGATGGAACATAATCAATCAATCAATCAATCAATCAATCAATCAATCAATCAATCAGCAGTTGCTCGTCTGCCCTCTGGAGAAGGGCAGGAGCTTAGCCACTGATCCATCCACTGGAGTTAGGCGGCCAATACATTTAAATAAATAAATGAGCGAATGAATAATTTTAATTTAAATAAACAAATCCTTGCAAAGTCTTCGGTTTTCAGGATCTTCAGAAAGGAATGGGTAAATCTTTTGGGCTGAACAGTAGATGGCCTAAGCTGAATGAACTAATATTCTGTCTCTGTAAAAGCCAGGCCCTTTAAACCAGGGTCTGGCTTCATTTACAACCATGAGGACTGGAATCTTACTTTCTAATTTGAGTAGTATCCCACCGGTGGCATGTTCAGAATCTCCATTTCAATCCCTGGCATTTCCAAGAAGGGTGGGCAAAAATTCTTGCCTGCAAATCTAACAGGCTGCTACGTTGATAATACATGTAGTCCTCGACCTACGACCATTTGTTCAGCAACTGTTTGAAGTTATGACGGCTCTGAATGAATGGTACCTATGCCTGGTCCTCAAAGTTGCAGCCATTGGAGTGCCCTGCGGTGACGTGATCAAAACTTGGGTGCTTGGCAGCCCACCCACATTTATGACCGCAGGGCGCTTCCACAGCTCAGGACCCCGTCATGTCTTCCTGCCGGCTTCCCCATTGACTTTGCTTGTTGGAAGCTGGCAGGAAGTCACGAGGAGGTCCTCGCTTAACAACCCGCCATTCTCCCTTAAAGAGGCAACAGGGACTGCCATTACTAAGCGATGCAGTCACATGATGTCGCGCTTTACAATTCCATCACTTAGTGATGGAAATTCCGGTCCCCATTGCTGTCATAACCTGAGGACTACCTGTCTGGGGTTTGAGGAAATCAAGGTTATTAAGGCAGCGCGGGGTGTAGGGGGTTGGACTTGATGACCTCTAGGATTCCTCCTTTGGTTAATTAGCCTCTCTAGGTCAGCAAGGGCTTACCTTGGACTAGGAGGCGGGTTGTGTGAATGACAGTGCCTTCCTGGTTGCTGGCCTGGCAGGTGTACAGCCCAGCATAGGCCCGTCCAACTCTAGCAAAGGAGAGAGTCCCGTTTTTCACCTGAGAAAAAGAACAAGGGTTAGTTTCAGCTGGGCGATATCCTGCTGAAGATCTTGGCAGTTAAGTACAGCAACATTCTGATTTAACGGATCCCCATTTAACAGACTTTGGATACAGCGGGCCAAGTGTCTACCCAGACATCCTCTGAAATCACAGATAAGCCTGTTACACTCAACCTTGTCTGAACAAGGCTGTTAAATGTCCATTCATTTTACCTTGTAACATCCCTGGCTATTTACCTCATTTGCACAATTATGCCATTGCGTAAATTGACGCCAAGGACGTGCGTTTGTATTTAACAGACTACTGAGAATAACAGACGTCCCTTCCTCCCAATTAGTCCCTTAAATCCCGGTTTTACTGTAACAGACATAGGAAAGACAACATACCTGAACTTCGGTTCCGTTTTCAAGGGTTCGGCTGTCCCTCTTCCAAGAGACGGCAGGCTGCGGATTGCCGGTGGCCGAACAGGACAGAGTTAGAGACTTTTGGTCCTGAATCTCTATGGAAGCCGGCGGGGTCTCCTGGAAGACGGGGGGAGCTGCAAGACACAGATTGAGAAAAGGCACACAAGCCACGATTTCATTGCGGTCCCTCTCGTTTGCTCCAGCCTCCACTCCACGCTGCTCAAATCCCAAATTTGGGGGGTTCAACATCAACTCGGAACAGAGTTTGTCTCAGACGCAAGTTGGTAAAAGTCTTCAAAACAGCCTGATTTCCTACATAAATGCTGAAGCGTTTTACTGAACGTCCGTTTGTGCTCCTGGAGGGCAGTAAAAGAACACACCAAAAGCGTTCAGATGCTACCCCGTGATACACAAATAAAGCTATCCCCCCTTTTTTGCCGTGCTTCATTTATTCAGAAGTTAATAAAGTTTGTTCTCGATACTGCAGTTAACTGGAGCATTAAATAACAGATCCTGAGAAACCAAAAAGTTTATTAGTCTACCTCAGGGGGTTGTGGGGGTGATAATAAACCAGGAACGGATCATCTTTTGACCGTCAGCTGACTAATATTTTCAGTGAGATGCTCTGCATTTTATTCATTTATCTATATATCACATTTGTAGAGCCGCCCATCTCACGCAAAGCAAAGCAACCCTGGTTGGCGCACGACAGTGAAATAAAATAACAGATGGATAAAAGCAATCGTGAGGAAAAGAGAAAAAAATGATTATTAAAATTTTAAAAAAATCAAAAGTTTTAAAGCAGATGAACCCCATTGAGAGAGCAAAATGTCAATTACAGTGGAGACATCTGTCTCCGGTTCCCAAAGACCCTCCAGGCCTGATGGCATAACCAGGTCTTTTGGGAGGTTTCTGGAGAAAATTTGGGGAGTTTGATTTGTTTGGGGTGGGTGGGGGGGCTACAAGCCATGGGGGCCTTCTGGTTCTCCTCCCTGTAGGGTTCAAACGACGCCAGCTTTTCCATTCAGTGTTAGGAAAATACTTCCCGCTGGTCAAAGTCAACAGCCTGTGCGAGATTCCACTTTGTTGAAGATTTTAATCCAAGGCTGACAGTCACCAACTGGGAGGGGATCCCCCCCCCATTTTAATGCTGGCCATCAATTCCTAGCAATTAGCTAGGAAACAGGCGATAAAGAGGTTTAGGGAAACAGCACGGGCGAGAACCAGATTATAGGGATGTTCGGAGCGTCTAGAAGGATGGCAGATGGGGAGGGAGCTGAAATGAATCCCCAGCTAAGAAAGAACAACATTTGCAGGGCAAAAGATGCTCAGATCAGTGAGGGATGTGCGTGTGATGCTCACAAGCTTTGCTAACTCCCCTTCTTGTCTGCTTTGATAGGGGGAAAAACTCACGTTTTTGCAAAGGCCAAAAAAGAAAAAAATTGAGTAAAATTTTCCAAAGCAGGTTACAAGGTTGGGGAGAGGTACGCAGATTTTGGGGCCCCCTCCCTGCAAAATCCTGTCCCTCTGGCCCGCCACGGTATCCCTGGGCATTTGATGCTTCTGTTCATCTCAAAAGAAGGATTCCTCCGGTGGGGCATTTCCAAATGGGAAAACGGAGCAGCTGCGAAGCTGCAAAGAGCCGGAACAGAAAGCCCCATGGAAGCTCCTCCAACATTGAAATCAACATCAGGAAACACGTGAAGACCACGCTAAGCCCCCCGCAAAAGAAGACAGAAAAACAGATGCTTCCTTTCCAGGGAACAAGCAATTCTGCAACCCGGGAGGACGGATCAGGTCACATGGAATTTCAGTAACCAGCTGTGAACGAGGCAGACATCCCCAGAGGATTTATTCTCATGATCTGCCGATCCATAAAATCCATTTACTTATCACAGCTCATGTTTAACCTCCACTAATTTACCCAATCGTTTCCCAAAAGCAATGAACACAGACAGAGGCCTCCCCGTCTTGTGACGGTGAGTTCCACAGGCAATGTCGGTTCCTCTTGTCCGTCCCCAGGGAAAGAGAATTCAGAGGAAGAACCTGATCAGAAAAGAGGGTATCTGACTTACAATTGACAATGAGGTGGATCCAGGTGCCATTCTGGAATTCGTCATCGGTATTGGGACGGGTGAGGAACAGCACCCGGCATTCGTACCAGCCCTGATCCTGGGCACGCAGCCGGTCGATCTGCAGAGAGGCCCCCCCTTGGATCCGCACGCGCCCTGCGTTGCAAAAGGAGGAAGGAGAACGATTTTGTTCACTAAGGGTTCCAATCTCCGACGGGAAGCCTCATCCTCTAGTATCGTCTTTATTTCCAAGAATACAGCTATGTTTCAGAGGCACTTGGGGAAAATGTATAGGTAGTCCTCGACTTACGACCATAATTGGGACCGGAATTTCTGTTGCTAAGCGAGTCACACCTGATTTTACCTTTTTTGCCACAGTCGTTAAGTGAATCTGGCTTCCCGCATTGACTTTGTTTGTCGGAAGCCCCCTGGGAAGGTTGCAAATGGCGATCACGGGACGTAAGGACGCTGCAGCCATTGTAAATACATGCTGGTTGCCAAGCGCCCGAATTTTGAACATGTGATCACAGGGATGCTGAGGTGGTCGTAAGTGTGAGGGCCGGTGGTAAGTTACTTTTTTCCAGCACTGTCGTAACTTCCAACGGTCATTAAATGAATGGTCATAAGTCCAGGACTACCTGTATTTTGTCACTTTGTGTGAGATGGGCAACTAGATAAATACGATAGATAGATAGATAGATAGATAGATAGATAGATAGATAGATAGATAGATAGATAGATAGATAGAATCTAGAAGTTGCTGGATTCTCGGGAAAACTGAGCAAAAATTTCTAAAGCATGTTGGAATACTAAGGAGTTTTTCCTGGTGGATGGATGGAGCAAAAAGGTTCTGCTGAAACAGGTAACAAGAAAGTCCCTGTTGGAACAGGACTGTTTCTTTCCTAACAACCTGACTTAAGGAAAGGTTCACCTTTCTCCCAGTGGAAAAATGAAAACTTAATTTTGACTTAACAAAACAACCACCACAGAGTGGAGGTGTTTGCCTAGGGGGTTCAACGGTTGGTCTCCAGAAAGGCACCCAGAATTTGCAAAGAAAACAGCATGTTTGAGTCACCTTCCTCCAAACTGCCTAGTCCTGAACAGGACGAAAAAGTCTAACTTTGTGAGGGTTGGAATTGGAAAATAAATTCACAGTAACATTCGAGATTGGCGGAGTTTCTGTAGCAGGAGTCACCGAAATAAGTACTGCCGTTAACCTACCCTGCCCCTCCCACCCTCACCAAGCTTTGCATGTTGTGTGCATGCAACGGTTAAGTCTGCCCCTGACTCTGTCAACAATATCAGACCCAAAATTTGAACCCGTGCAATTGCAGAACACCTTGAACGCGCTCCTGCGTATTCCTCCGGATTTTAAAAGCGACTGAGTCATCCTCCGGAGGCAAAACCTGAGGCATTGCGAATTGCGATTTGCAAAACGGGAAAGATAAAAGCTCACCGACAAATGCTGCCAGGAAAAGGAAACTTGGGGGGTCAAGGACCCCCACAAAAGGACGATTCCCTTATTCTCCAAGGGTTGGCCCAGTTGAATCGGAGGGAGGGGAGCATCAGCGAGCATCGTTCACAAAGGAGCATCCTGAGCGGCCAAAACAAATTCCCACGGAGGGACCCTCTGCGAGGGGCACTCGCTTGTTGCTGAGCAACCGGGTGGGTTTTTTCAAAGAGAGACATGCAGCCCACCTCCCCTGACACCGGTTCCTCCAGGCAACCGAGCAGACCCTGAAAGATAAAGGAGCGGTTTGGGGGGAAAAGGGGGGGAGGACAAGAGAGAGTCAGGAGCCAGAGAGCAACTGGAGCAGCTCTGGTTCGGGGATCTAAACGCTCTTTTGGATCAGGTCTGGGAGGGAGGACCGGATCTGGTTCGTGCTTGGATGGGAGACCACAAGGAGATCCCGGGGCTGGAGACTAGACCAAAAAAATAACCTGTGAAAAAGCAACGACAAACTACACTTCTGTTTTGTTGCCAGGAAAATCACAGGGATATGTCTATTAAGTTAGCAGGAGCCAAGCTTAATTCCAGAGAGATTTTATTTCTGGGTGCCCCCAAAGGGTCAATAAACATAGTGGGGGGAAAACGAAGGCCATGACTGCAAACCCCTTTTGCAGCCTGTTAGCAAAGCTTACCCTTATATTTTGGCAAGGATCCCCCCCCCCCTTTTTTGAGACAGGGTTCCCCGCTGGGAATCTTGAAAGCCCAGCGGGTGCAGCCAGCTACCAAGTGGTCCCGGATTCGAATCCTTGGCCCCTTTTGCCAAGAAAGGGTTGAGTTTCAGAGCCTACCTATTTTCACTCGGCCAGAACGTAAGCCGTGGGGAAGCTGGAGTTTTTGCAGGGTGGAACACTCGCTTCCTATTTTTTTTTCCTTTAAAGGGATTTAAAATTAAAGAAGTAAATTCGGGGGAGCACAGAGCCTTGGGCCTGGGGTGGAAGAGCAGGTTCTATAAGTTTAAGCTAGCCTGATGAATTATGGTCTGATTTTGAGGGTGTGCACACGCGCGTGTGGGTACAGGCAACCGAGAACAAAGTTGACAGCAGCCAACGCATGTTTAATTTCTTTCCACCCAATTTATCAAACCCAACTGCTCTGTTTATACAGTCACCTGTTGCACATATGAATGGCAAGCCAAGATTTAATATTCTCCTCCGTTCACATTCTTTTGAACCCGGTTCCTAGTGCAGGGAAACAGACATCTGGATTAAACAGAGTGGGTTCTCTGTGATTTATTCCCAGCCCAACCATTCAATGGTTTACTGAGAACTGACGTTATTAGCAACATACGAACAAATTACTTCTCTACATAACTTAGCTGTGGAAGAACAGAACGAAATGTGGTTATCACGGATTGAAATGCTTATGCAGACATTTTAGATACACAAACATATATAATTTCAGCTGCCTTCTAAAATGTATTGATATGTATTTGGGAGCATACGCCCTGCAAGTTTTTATTCCTTTTCTGTTCTTTTTTTCTCTTTCTTTACAACTTTGTGAACAGTTTATTTCTTTCTTTTTCTTCGTGGTTTTTTCCCCCCACAAAAACGAAGCCCAATCGCTCTATTCACCTAACCGGCTATTGCCAATCAATCAATCATCTTCCAGTTTAATGGGGTGATTTGGTTCACATCACTCGCTAAAACTTGCTTCTATTTTATTATGTATTGGAATGTATATATTGAATTTGTTTCTTGTTACGTGGTGGCTTTTTTCCCCCCTTCTTTTTTTCATGTTTTTTTTAATGCCGTACACCACCCAGAGTCACATGGTTTGAGCTGGGTGGCCTTATCGATCTTAAAAAGAAAGAAAGAAAGAAAATCACCGCTGTGTTTTCACCAAGGGCTGAACCTCCAAATAACTTCGTTTAGGGTTTTCAGGGGAGCCCTGGCAAAGTCTCTGGACACAAGCCAGCTCTAAGCTATAATCTGAATTTTCTGATTCCCTGCCTGCTTTCCTTCCGTGCAAACGATCAGGCTGTCTGGCTTCATAAACCTTCGCCGCGCTCCAGATTTTGGGTTGGCCGAGCCAAATTGGCAGGTATTTGGAAGGGAAGGGAAAAAAGAAAGCAGGCGGCAATTAAAGCAGGGCGATCTCAGATTTTCATCGGCAACCCGTCTAAGCGAGTCTGCCGGCGCTCACAATCCAGAGGAGGATTCCCACCGTTGGGTGTTCAGAAAAGAAAGGGTTCAAAAGGTTGGCTAGACAATCAGCCCGAGAAAGTCTCTGACCCGGAAAAAAGGAAGCGGAGAAAAGAGAGCAAGGGGTTAAAGAAGGGGGGGGGGAAAGACCAAGCAGCAGCCATTTGGGGTCACCACAACCACCCAAGATGTTGTCTTGGGTCACTTTGCTCATTGCCACCACACGGTGCCCAAGATGGAAAGGGAGAGCCGCTTCTCCAGAAATGATATAGAGACAAAGTCAGATGAGGACTACTGCCTATCCACACGCTAAATTCTAGGACCTGAAAACACAACGTTCCGGGGAACGCCGGAACATTCCAGGGAGTGCCGGAACGTTCCGGAGGATGCCAGAATGTTCTGGAGAATGCTGGAACGTTCCAGAAAATGCCAGAACGTCTTTTTCTCTCTCTCAGAACACACTGTTTGAGAATTGCTGTCTGGCTTCCTCAAACAGGTTTACTGTGGAATAGGAAGGGGTTCGCTTCTGAAAACAACCAACAGTGGTTAAATCAGCATGGCTGGGAGAAAAATGGAACTTTCTGAACATTCATGGACAATGTTCTGGGATTGGGCCCTGGAGTTTCTTGTATGTCCACTGCCACCCTGCTTCCTTTTGGCCCCGAGGGTGAAAAAGAAGGGCAAAAGAACTTGTTCCGAGTGTCTATCACAGTGTTTCTCAACCTTGTCAACTTGAAGAGGTGTGGACTTCAACTCCCAGAATTCCCCAGGCTGGGGAATCCTGGGA